CATCCAGCATAGGTCTCTGGTATCAGGCGACATCTTTGGATGTGCGGTAGCATCTAAGAAGGTCATGGGGTGGACGCACTTGGTTGAGCGCTGCTCGTAGCAGCACTGCTGCTCGCACTGCCAAGCCTTGAGGGGAGACGAACTGGAGACCCTACTACCTAGATCGAGCTTGAGGAACGTGTAGGGAGAGTAGTAGGACTCCACATACTGTTGCTTCTGGGCCAAGTCCTGAACGCACATGGTGCCGTGTGACGGATATTACAAGAGTTTGTCATGTGGGTCATGAAAGTAAGACGAACTTGCCAGGCAGCAGCTCAGGTTGTGGGAAGCCGGATCTTTGGAGTTAGTGCACACGGTGCACCCGGGGTTTTTCTTAGCCATCGAACTCTCTATGGCGGATCTTCTGAACCTGCGCACAAGCACCGTAAATCGCGTAGACAGTGACAGTTCTTCCAGCGTGTACCCAAAACTCTTCAACTGGTGGAGATGGGTTCGAGGTAAATTGTTTGTAGGTTTGTGCGCGGCGAACCATGTAGCGTCGGTTAGTCCGAAGCGAGATACTGGCGTTGCAGTCGGGAAGCCTTGAGAAGGTAATGTCGCGGTTCGCTGGGACGACGAGACGAGAGGAGTCGTGAGGCCGGTTGACGGCGAAGTCGTGGCCTGCTGCGATGTCGAAGCAAGAGGAATAGACAGACCGAGGTGAAGAGGAAGTCGAGGTCTGCTGGGACGTTGAGACGAGAGCGGTCGTGAGGGCGGTTGACTGTGGAGTCTCGGCTTGCTGCGACAGTCGAAGCAAGAGGAGTCGAGAGGCTGGTCGAAGATGAAGTTGCGGTGTGCACCGAGGTTTCAGTGAGAGGAGTCGAAAGACTGATTGAAGATGACGTTGCGGCGGGCTGCGTTGTGTATGCGAGAGGCTTACCGAGGGGGTGGATGTGACTGCGATCGATACGGGTGTGGTTCGTGGCCGCGGTTTGGTTGCGTGCCGAACTTTTGCTTTAGTGCAGATGACTCTACCCTCGAACTGGCGGACTGTGGTCAGGTCCGCTGCGAACTACTCACAATGAAGCGCAGCCTGGATGCCCTTGTTCAAGTCCATGAGTTTGGCGTCCTTCACGGCGATGATGATGAGTACATCTTTGAGCTTCTCAAGAGGGGTTGACGAGTCTTCCATCAGGGCATTGAGCGATGAGTTAATTGATGAGCGAGTCTCAAGATCCACACGACCGCGCGTGAGAAACGAAGAAGGGGACCCGGACTTGATCGTCTGGCTACATTGAAGGTGAACGGAAGAATTGAGTGAGCCAGCGCTCCTGGCTTGTGCTCGTGCCCACCACCCTTTCTTCTTCCTTTATTTGCAACAAGCATCTCCTCCGGGGAGAACTCTTCACCATCTACTGCATCAACCTGGCTCATGATGCCCGCTCGAGGTGTGTAAAGCCTACATCGTCTGAGAGCCGCCAAGCTCTCGTAGGCAAGAGCTTGGCCGGTCTTTTCCATCTAAACCAGTCCTCCCTGTCTACTGCATCTACCTTGCTCATGACGCCCGCTCGAGGTGTGTAACGCCTACAGCGTTGGAGAGCCACCAAGCTCTCGTAGGGGAGAGCTTGGCCAGTCTTCCCCATCTAAACTGGTCCTCCCTATCTACTGCATCAACCTGACTCATGACGCCCGCTCGAGGTGTGCAACACCTACAGCGTCGGAGAGCCGCCAAGCTCTCGTAGGCAAGGAGCCACCGAAGTCACAGTAAAAGACGTTCTAGTGAATAGATCTTCTCACAAAAGCCTCAAAACGTAGAGGAAATCTTCACACATGTTGTGCAGAAAAGTCACAAGGATATCGTAAAATTAATCTGAGTTACACCCAAAAACTCACGGAGCCGACGCACGTCCATGCACGTTGATACCACCTCGCATTCCCTCTTGCCGAGAATTGTTCTTTTTGACACGCTATCTTTCTACTTTATAATCTTGTCCATTTCACTTAATTCCATCTCACACCTGACAAATGACGCACATGTTCTCGAAGCGAAGCAGAACAGGAATGAAAGGGTAAAGAGAGCAGGTGGCGGTTTTTGATGACTATAGTTTTATTTCTGCTACATACGGCAAAGCTCCAGCATAAGAACTGTGCTATAAAAAACTATTCCTACAGCACGTGGTTGGTCTCGGTGATCCGCACTTCCCATTGCTCTTCGCGGACGTCTTGAAGTAGAAATCAGTGTGCATCAGAGTGACGTGACAGGCGAGTAGCACACTTTCGTGCCTCATGTGGCTACCCATCCGCCCCGCTCTGCATTTTTTTGATTGCGGGCTGAATGCCTGTTGAATGCTGTGAATATACACCCCAGGAACACCATTTCCCCCGGCTGTACCATCATAAACGTAACGAGTTGTAGTTACAGTCACACCAATTGTGATTGGAACGGTGACGTTTTTCCGTTCCTCCCCAAAGAAACTAGCTACAGGAACGGCGTTCCTTGGAACGCCCTTCCGTACAACACTGGTGCCTTGTTAGTGTTATGAAACACGTCGACTCGAGTGAAGAGGCACGAAACGCGCGTTGCATCACCCTGGTTATTCGACCATGAGCGTAAGCGACAAATGCAGTGTTACAGCATGGCAGTGTTACAGCCCTGCTAGGCAGGCACGCGTCTCATAGCTAGTACTAAACTACCGTATAAACCGGAATATAGGTCGAGATATTTTCAATAAAATAATGAGCTAATTTCGCCCCTCGTGTTATATAGCGGTGTCTAGCAGAAAGTGCGACGCTGTCTGGCAACATGCAACTTGCATGTGCTTGTGAAGCCGGACGCAGCCATATCCGCATCCAAATCTAACCGCAGTCTGTTTTTTTTTTCTCAGTCTGTTTTCTTTGTGTTCGTGATTTGCTTCCGATCTATTCTGAGTTTTCGCTCCGCTCGACATTGCGCTGCATATTTAGTGGCCTTTTGTTTTTCGTTCACTAAATATGTCTAGCGGTGCGAGTAGGCAGTACTCAGCAGCATTTAAACTAGATGCTGTTGAGTTCGCAGAAGCGAACGGGAATATGGCTGCTCAGCGCCGCTTTGGTGAATCGGAAAAAAGCGTGCGCTATTGGAGGGCGCAGAAAGGAAAGCTGAAGAGGTGCAATACTTAAAAAATGTCGTTTCGTGGACGAAGTGCCGTTCATCCGCAGCTGGAGGTTCGTGCGCGCTTGCTGCTAGTGACCATAGATACCATTCGCAAGAAAGTCGTGGAATTCGCTCGAGAAGCTGGGCTCACGAGAGAAGAGTTTTGTGCACCGAACTCTAGGGTGCGACGCAAAGGATTTTCTCTCCGGCGGCGCACATTCATCTGTCAAAAGTTGCCGGAAAAGTTCGAGGACAAGCTCATAAACTTTCAGTGCTTCGTGAACCAGCTTCGGGAGCAGAACGACTACATGATGGGGCAGATTGGTAACGCCGATGAGACCCTCTTATGGTTTGACATGCCTTCGCCGACCACAATCAGGCAGTGCGGACGCCAAGGATGTGAAGCTGTTGTCCACTGGCAACGAGCACTCGTGCTTCACCGTCATGCTGGCATGCATGGCAGATAGTAGAAAGCTTCCGCCCTTTGTCATTTTCAAATGCAAGACAATGCCGAAGGAGGTGTTCCCGCCCGGTGTTGTCGTTCGTGTCAACAAAAAGGGATACATGGACGAGGCCATGATGCTCGAATGGATACGAGTGGTGTGGAACCGTCAGCCAGGTGCACTGCTGCGTCTTCGCAGCATCTGCGTCTTCGGTGACCACTTGAGCCGACGCAGTGAAACGCGCACTCGTCGCCGGGAAAACGGACCTCGCCGTGATACCAGGTGGTATGATGTCCACCCTCCAGCCGCTCGACGTTGTGCTAAACAAGCCGTTCAAGGACCAAGTGCAGCTGGAATACCAAGAGTGGATGTCCGGCGACAACCCCAAGACACCGACGGGCCGCCTACAGAGGCCTCCACTTGCGACTGTTTGTGGCTGGGTGCTTTCCGCCTGGCGCTCCTTGCCGGATTCCATGGTGGAAAATGCTTTCAAGAAATGTTGCATCAGCAACTTGCTTGAGGGCACTGAAGACGACGCTCTGTGGGAGGCGGCCAGCGACAAACTCTAGTCTTAAAAAGACAGTTTTGCTTCGTCGGACGAATAAGAGCAGTTGCGATGATGGTTGAGGAGAGCTCTGACGATCGGGGTGCGGTGTTCCCAATTCGCAAATAAATTTGGTTTGGTAGTTTTGGGTTGTTTTCCTTTTTTTTCTTTTTCAGTAACCTGAACTCGGAGGGTCGACCTATATCCCCACTCGACCTATAGTCCGGTTTATACAGTATACTACCATAGCTATTTTTTGGTGCAGATGAATGCTATGGGAGAGCCAGACGCTTGGGGCTAGGGTCACCACCTGGTGCTTCCTTAAAAGCGTCGACGAAATTACACTAGTCCTGTTGAAAACGCGTCGAATGATATAGAACTGTAGCGCCGACGCTTTCAGAAAACTAATCATCGAGGTCACGGTCTTGATGTATGACCACCCCCAATACCAACTGCACTGTGAGGGGTCCGTGCTACATATAAAATGCGCGTTCGAACGGCCTCGGTAGTATATGACCGTGGAGCAGTTGATATCTCCATGGGCTGGGCTGCTGCGCTGTCACGGATGCAGTGCTCGTGGGCTCGGCTCTAGCTGACAGAACGTTTTTCTTTGTCATATGATAATGTAAATTTTTAAATGCAATGTCCCTGATGGAAATTCGTCCTTAAGTCTTGCTGGATCAATATTCACTCCTGTGAAAATCGATTGGCAGTAAGGCCGAGGGATTCGCAAGCTACGCGGGTAGTTAAGAGGATGATGTTACAGAAAATTATCACGAAGGTCATCGGGCAGCTATCGCGACTGAAAAGCCGCTGTCTAGTCTGGGTAGATTGTTAACAAATAAGAAAAAAAGAACAAGTAGAACACACATCGAAAGCAATAAATACAGACATATGTTACCTGTTTTTGGAGCAAAGTTTTGCGCTGTAAAGTTTAGAGGACAGCAATAGATGTGGTCCATTAGCTTGTCTGCGGGGACCACATGCTCCGCCGTGAAAGGGCATCGAGAAAAATCTTCTTTGCTGTGTGTCTGCGGCGAGCGATATGAATAAAAAATCGGCATGCTGTAACAGAAACATTCAAATCTGCACACAGGCGAGATATTACATCTACCTTCTTTTGCGTCAAACCCAAATATAAGCAGTTAACACATAGATAGCTTTGATAAATAATTATAAGTTGTTTAGGTAACATTTTTTCTTGATGCACTGATGTGAAGATGGTAATACTAGAATGAACATTTTACTGAGTGCAATCAGTAAAATCATCGTTATCAGTCTGTATCCTTCATTAGGGTTTTTCTCGAAAGTGTATCAATTAAGTCTACTTTTTTCTAGGGGCCTGTTCTCGGGCCTGCGCTTCTTCTATGGTGTTTAAAAATGGCATTGTTAAAGAAGTTTCAACAAATATTACGTTTTATGCAGTATAACTGCATGATGTATCAAACTAAGTTTTGTACAGGGTGAGCCTAGGTGGAATCATGATCTTGCGAAGATCATTTGACGGTGTGAGAGCCATGACTAATGCTCACCAATTAAAAAAAAATTGCTTTATAGGAATCACTAACAAAAACGAACCACTGCATTTTACATGTTCAACTAGTGACCAAATTCTTTTTGAGGTTGGGCACTTCGAATATTTAGAAATGTTTATTAGGAACAAACTCTGCTGGAACACACACATAGATAAATGTAGCCAATGGCATGAAAATATGTTCATTTTGAGGCGTATACTACAAATCAAATATTTGCCTTATATCAGAGTAAACGCGATAATTTGGAACCTCTTCAGAAAATCAAATTTCAAAAAATTATAAGGAGTACGAAAAGAGGCTCTGAGATTCATTGACAACTCATTTAGTAGCAGCTCTATTAGCAAATTGATAAAAAAGGCAATTTGCCTCCTGTTAAATCATGCCTGTACAATAAAGTTTTTTTTTATCAGTTGGTAAATGATCATTATAAAACTGACACATGACATTTCTTGATTTCATCAACAGCTTACGCAACTAGATTTTGACATTCACAAGCTAAGCCTTTAGTGGAATTGGTCAATTGTTTTAAATATTCGCTTATTTCTTCGCACAATAAACGATTGCAGTAACCTATCTAACGAGTTTATAATTCAAGAATTTTTCGGTATTGTTAAAGAGCATTTTATTTGTACTGTTCTGAAAGCTGTTGTAACTGCTTTATCATCGTTTGCTGTTCTTTTTACCCAAATGTATCTTTTCATTTTGCTTTGCACCCCTCTGAAATGATATAACTTCGATCACCGTTTTTAAAAATAAATTATTCAGTAGAATATGTACAACTCTAGTAAGCAATACAATGAAGAAAAAAAGCCTTCGACACTGTTGCTACTTGCCTGGCGTAAAAATGTCAAATCAATCAAGGGTGTTGATTATGCACTCGCATACAGTATGCCAATAAAAAGAAGAAATCGCTAACATCTGCGACAATCGGGCAGTTGCAAGTGTGCATTATGCAGTCGTAACATCACCTTTAAGGGATACTAAACGAAAATGGCAAAAACTGATGAAACTTCGAAATTATACTCGGGAGATGTGACAGTTCTGATCAACAGAGTTCATTTCACGTATTTTCGAACAGTTGGCTGTACTTTTGGTGAAGTGTCAGCTCGCGGTGACTGCACGCGAACAGTAGCCGTGACATCACAATCGCTGAGGCGCATGCAAAGTGCACAAGTTCCTGTCCTCTTCTTTTTCTCCACCCACTCTTTCATTGGATTCTCCACATTCCGCAAAAGTCCTGATGCTTTGCCTCACTGGGAGCATTGTTCGCAATCGGGACTGTTAACACCGGTTCTGGAGTCTGGCTGCAGTTCCGGATGGCTGCAGATTTCGGGTGGGTGTGATGTCGCCAAATGTCACCTCCTGTGGTTCATGACGTAGCCGCTAGACGTGGCAGTTTGTCGAAAACGCATTAAATTTATTGTTTTCCTACTTTCGAGCTATAATGAAGTTTGTGTCTGTTATTTAGATTTCAAGGCCCAATCTTTCAATTTATTTCAGAAGCTTGGCAAAAATTTTCATCAGTATTCCACTTAATTTCCCCTTCCTCGGCTAGATTCGACATTAACTAAGGAGGGAAAGCGTTTGATGTTCGGAAAGGGCATCCCTCGATAACTCGAGTGCTCCGTGGCAGCACGAAAGAAGAACCGTTGTTGGATCAAGAAATGCTTTATTGCAGCACTCAGGCGTCTGGCCGGGTCCAAGCCCGAACCGCCGCTTTCGTTTCACATCCAACCAACCTCTTTTCAACCCTCTGTAAAACAAAGGGTCTCCACACAAGCCAATTACATTCGGGGGCACGCATCATCACAACCGATTGAAGAAACATTTTCTCAACCGACACTGCATTGGTAAAGAGCACGTTACAAAATACAACAATCGACAGGGTAGGTTCTCCGCTCAACTTGTGTAGTCACACTCTCTCCCATGTTAGGCTGTGTATCGGCTGAAATCCACCGGGAGCCATCTTTAAAGCTCGAGACGAAAAACTACTTCCACTGTCCTTGTGTTTTATTACGGTAAGCGTGAATGCCATCATCTTGAAACATAGATGACGCCGCGTCACATGGTTTTTGCGAGACAAGATTTCCGGTTGGCTGGCTTTTCATTTTTGTCCCAAGCGTGCGGGGGGGGGGGGGGGGGTAGCTTTGATGGATCTCTAGTCAACTATGTGAACGACAGAGTTGCCTTTCATCCCCATGCGTGGGTATTCCGCATCCCCCTTCACAGAACCGACCAGTCAGAATGGCAGGAGCTGCACTTTGTAGCACCAGCATAACTTGCGCCACACAACAACATGACACTCCTCATACATCTTAATAACTATCTCTTTATGATTAGATGACAAGCCATTTTCCTTCCGTTGATGTACACATGAGTTGTTGCTATCAATAATCTAACAATTGGTGGCCGGGTGAATGTCGCCAACATAACTTCAACTGCCATGTAACACACAAGTGCCTTGTTACACAATAATAATTTCTCAAAGCGAATCCTATGAGTCACCATTTTTAAATTTTCAGGAAGCCACTGTTGTGATTAAAACAAACTCATGATGACATTTTCTCAATGTTAACGAGTTTTAAAAAACACAATTGCACTATTACGTATGATGTGTAGCAGTTTGAAGGTTCTATATAACTTTCAAAACTGTGAAATAAAATCAACAATAATGTGACCTATCAAATCGGAAGCTCAACAATTTTATTGCAGAATAGCTTAGCACATCCGTATGCTATCACATATCGATGCTGTCCAGAGTGACAACCTTGCTGACACTATGCAGTACGTGAAGGCACATTAGCTACGAAAGGTCGCATTAATGAAAAAATCTGTAAGAGTACCTCCTGGAGATGCTTGATCTCATAGTCGTGAGTGGAGCTGGTTAATCAGTTGCCCTGATACGACGTCGAAACCGCCACTCTCGTCTCTTTGTCAGTTCCGGTCTGAAGGACTACATGGCAGCTTAGACCTCAAATGAAGTTAGATAACACAGGAAGATTGCTTCCAGTTGGCATTGTCACCCGTTTTTACACTCGGCCAGGTAACGTCTTCAATTATTTGTTCTACAAAAACAGGGCGGGAGGGCGAGGCGAGGCTGGCTCATATATTTATATAATAAAAGGGGGTGACTGCGACAAATCTTCGACTCTATCCTCCGCTGAATATAAATACGTGCGCTCACCTGCGAGGGGAGGGAAGTTTCTTTGTGAAATTTCTAGGTAAGGGAAGGACCTTCGGCTAAGGAAATCATAAACTGGTGTCCTGCATACTCGCTATACTAAAGTTTCCGAGCTGAAACTTCCCTTGCAGGATAGTGAGCGTAATCGGTGTCATTTCCTTTGCTGCAAGTGTTTTGTGCAAGGTATGAGCACACAACTTCCCAATGAACTGTCAAATATTACAGGCTTTACAGAGCGAAATGAAGTCAAGTTTTCTGGTTCTCAAAAAAAAAATTAGGTACCACCCGTTTTTTTTTTTTTCCGGAGTTCCTTTAGGATATGAATATTTAGCAGTTGAAATTCGTTGTTCTACACACAGACACCGAGCTAATAGAAGCACCTACCTTTCTACACTTCATCAAGTGTATGAGGTAGCGACTGGCCTTTACCTTATGCTGGCTGTCATACGGACATGTCCGCATCAGTTCCTTTTGCGCAGGGTTCATGGCGTATGTCTGAAAAGAAGCAACAAGTAGACAGCATAACCGTATTTCTGGGTGTGGCAAATATCTTGGGTAGGAGGAGGAAAAGGTAAAACTTTTTCGACCAATGTGCTCTGGCACACACGTCCCAGGGTCACCCGCTCGACTCCACTGCGCTAGCAATCATGAGTTCATGTAGCTGCATGAAGTGGGCAGCCTGGTCACAGGCGATCTTATTGGTTTATTCTTACTTCTATCAACATACTACAGCCATATTTAAGGCTATAGCAGAAACAGAACTTTATAGTATACTATATGGAACGCCAATTAAAAATGCAAGCAAGGAATGCAAATGCTAACGCAGTTACACCCGAAGCAATGCTCAAGTAAGCATGATGTTGATTACACGTTAGTAAGATGTTAATTGACTGCAACTGTCAAGTCTTTTAGTTGTAAGGAACGAATTTTACCAGGCAGAGAATTTCACATATTGAAGAACAGGGCGAATGAGTGATTGAGATAGAAGCAGCTTGGAATCAGTAGGGACATTACGTACGGTGCGGAGCAAATAATCTAAAATTTGATCTCTTTATCACATACGTAATCAATGCGGCAAGTCAATGAAAAATGTTTGCTTAGATACACTTCTAAATGCTTGTACTTTCAAGCTCTGTTAAGCTGGGTGCCACCAAGAAAATAGCCAAAACAAAGAAGTTTACGCCAACTGGTAACGTACATTTCGATAGTTTCAATGCAATTACCGTTAAGCTGCCACGTGTCACACCACTTACCGAATAATGTGAGTGATTGACCATAATGATGATGATCGTCAATGTAATTGATCCTTTAATTAAGCACGCGATCATGTGCACTTAGTTATTTAAATGAGATTCTGCGAGTGAAGCCTATAATGATAAGTAACAATGATAAAGGGCCTTGAACGGATCCCCGAGGAACAGTGGAGGTGGCTTTCATGGGGGTTGAGTCTGTAGAGCTTAAGAAAAAAAAAAAACAGAGAGCGAATGAAGAAAACTGGCCGCTTACGAAACAATATGGGGGTTATCAAGAATAACATTTAATTTTAAGAATAAGCTTAGAATGAATGACGGAATCAGAAGATTCAGAGGAATGGATAAAAATGTTATTTATTTGGTTAGTTGTGTCTGAGCTATAAGCAAGGTCATGCATAATATTGAGTAATTTCTTAGCCTCTTCCTGCAGCCTCGAGGCAGGTATCCAGCCCCTGTCGACCGCTCCATCATACAATGATCTAAAGCTCCGCATAGCTCTAATGCATGAAAAACATGATCACTTTTCACAATGCGTGCAACGAGGTGAACTTAGAGGAGTATGCCTCTTACAGGCCCTGGGCAAACAGTGGGAATGTGGTAGAACTTGTCAGCCTTGGGGTAAAGAAAAGAAAAAAAATGTTGAAAGCCAAAATAACTTCTTAACTGTGGAACGTACAGAACAAAACATTTTTACTGTGCATAAAACTTTGAAGTGCACTTATGCTGGGTCAATTATAGCGAAGTGCAGCTGGTAATTGGGCAACTAAAGCACGTGGCCTAGGAGGACGGGCGTCACTCCTCGGACCCGTTGATAAAACTGTCAAGGGCAGAGGCAGGAGCATTTTACACCCCTCACCAATTTTAACTGACACTTCATCGCAAAGCGGGTGATTGGTTACAATAGTGTATTTTTCTGTCACAATAGACGATTAGAGTATACTGGGCCAGTGGTGATCCAGCCACTTCAACTTTTGGAGCAATTTTTGGAGCAGAGAAAATGCTCTTTTGGAGCACCTTTGTATCGGCACTCGATTTTGGAGCAGCAATTGTAGCAGCAACTTATTTTACAAAAATAGATCTCTCATTATTGCTGAAACTAAAGCTGTGATAGCAACCACAGTTCTATAAAATCGTATTTGTCTCAATTCTCAATTATTAATTAGAGTGTCACGTGCATGCCGATTTTAAAAGCCACCAAGAAATGGACCAGTCCATCAGATTTAATGCACTACTGAAAATGAAGGTAGTGCAGGTGTAGCATTATTTTATTAAAGTACACTAAAAGCTATGACGAAAATTCCCAGAAACCGAACTGTAAGGAGAGTTTTGAACTTTCATTTATTTACAGAAGAAAGATGTGCATGTTGCAGCATTTACGTCCTCTTGCTCACCTTCTTGCTTAGTTCATCCAGCTGTGAGAGGGTTTGGCTCAAAGCGGAGTTGCCTTCAGCTAATAAAGTTTGCCCAGCTTCAACTTGTTCCAGGCTCTTAGAACGCAGACCAGAAGAAATTGTCTTCTGCTCGTTTCAGCAATGCCCTACTTGATGTGACCTTTTCTTTCAAGTTCTTACGAAGTCGCTTTTTGTCGACATCAGCACCAGTGTCTTGGTCTCCAAGCCTTTTCCTGCTTTCCGACTGCTGTGCACTTGCAGTTCTCTTTGTGTATCGGGCTCTAGATCTCCTTACACTTTGCAGAAGCTCTGTAGACAAGGGAACTTTAGTGGCATCGCCATCATACCTGCGGAGGTATGTCTTTGTCTGGCGCAACCCGTTAATGCTTGCAATGCATAATGAGTAGCGGTTCTCATAAAAGCGCTTATTTTCGCTAAATCCTCGTTCGCAGTCTGCGTTGCCATGAGGCAGGCACAGCAGACACTTGACAAGCCTCGACAATAATGGATGCTTTGGTTGACCTCCAGGAGACTTCAGTTCAAATATTTTGCCCCAACTAACATCAATTCTTTCACCTCCAAGTGCCAGGAGGTCACTGTTGGAGTCACACTTTAACATATGCCACTCATCGATGGCTGAGGAAACTTCTTCATGTTTGATTACCTGTGGAAGCTGAGACACAAGGTACTTCAGTGCTCGCACTTCCGATTCAACATTTGTTGACTGCCAATTGAGGAGGCTAGCAGATTGAAGAACTCTATTGTCGAGTGGAAGCTTCTGAAGAAGATCCTTGTCACAGGCCAAGTAAAAAGCACATGCTCCAAGATAAAACCGCTTCTTCTCACTAGAGTCCCACTCAAGCATTGATTTTTCAGTATCTGTACCAACTTCCGGCCTCGATTTCCAAAGGGATGCATCCATCACATCTAGCCTTTTCAGTTGTTCAGCGCTCTTGTCTGGAAAGGCTTCATGACGAAGAAACCGACTGAGGACTCGTTGGACTAGAACAATAAGTTCAACGTGAAGTATGTGCAAGAGCGGCTCTTGCTTTTGGAAGAGCAGCTGAAATCCACTGAAAAGCTGCGCACAGTTCTTAAGGAACAACACTTTGGCCAAAAGTTGTTTCTCAGAAAATGCCGACACAAGCTTGTTGTGTAGGCTTTGGGTGTCAGGTCGTTGACGAGATGAATTGCCCTTAAAAAAATAGGTGCGAAGCGCTTCAAACTGTTCCTCAACTCGGCAAAGTGAGTCTTGTACCGTCAGCCAGCGATTAGAAACGTGGCGCAGAAATACATGACAAGAGATTCCCAAAGTATCCTGGCATTCTCTGAGTGCTTCAGCGCGGACAGCACCTTTGAAGTAGTAGTAAATATTTCTCACTACTTCTTCTACATCTAAGCCAAATGCATCCAGGCCTCTGCCAAATGCATTATGAACCTTATGAAGATTGCAGTTGCCAATATCAAACTTGGTGCCACATGCTTCTGAAGCTTGTTTCTTACGCTCTTCATAACATTAGGGCCATCACTGAAAAAGCAAACAAGTCCTTGCTTTGGAAGATCTGCTATTGCTTCTTCTATGCAGCCAACAATTATTTCAGCGGTTGCATGCCCAAGATCAAATGACTGGACATGTTCAACAACAACTTCCTGTTGGCTGCTGGAAAAATAGCGTACCAGCACATCTAGTTGCTGCACCCTTAGCTCTGGCTTTGGCGTCTCATCAATCATAATGGAAAAATAGACATTTGGCTGGCACAGCTCAGTCACCACTTGTCCTTTAAAGTAGGGACCCAGTCCATCTGATACAATGCGGGCCAACTTTATTCTGCCGCAGCTAAACTTTTTGGCAATGTCACTGTCGGGGAGCATGCAGCGATAAATCGAAGTTGCCGTGTCTCCCCATGAAAAAGGAATTCCCTTGGCCACAACAGACAAAGCAAAAGTAGTTTCTGCCTTGCTGACTTGGTGCTCAAGTGATGTATTAGCAGACCCGTTGGAGAAGTCCAGTGTGCCTTGCACCAATTTGGGTGGAAGGAAGATTCCTGTCCTTGTCTCTGTGTCTAGCAGCTGCATCAATATGTTTCTTCATCCCAGCATGACGCTTCACTGCTGCCGCTCCATGCTGTGCGCAAGAAATGGTGCAGTTGAAAAGAATACAAAATGCATCTGTATTTCGGGTTCCACTCTTGCACCACCGACTGATCGGATCATTATTGGAGTCCACCTCGTTGAGTACAGAGGCGTTGAACTTGGTGTTGCGATCTGAAAACATGAGCGAAACGAACTTTATGACAGTAAACTTTCCCAAGTTTTTTTTTCAGAGCGTGAATATAGGTAAAAGCAACAGGGTAGACAGAAAGAGCACTGACTTCTAACTTTATATCACAGAGTGGCAAGAATATATATGCCCAAAAAAGGATGATTAAAAACATGACAATATACAAGCCTAGTCAATGCGTCAGTATAAAAAACTTGCAAATGTGACTACGCACCAACTAGCCCAAGGTTCCACTCTTGTAAATTTTCCCACGACCAAGGCACGCTAGTAAAAAGAGCACGTAACTACTAGATTTATTTTTAGGGTAGCCCGTAACATAATGCCAACCTTACTTCATTGGAAGATCTAAATACCAACTCTAAGGCGCCAACACCAAATATTTGCGCAAGCATTTTGGGTACAGCCTCGACAAATGGCGCGAATCGGGATGCCAGTTTGTCGACCATTTACACCTAAAACTCGCGACCAACTTACAGGAAGTTGCCATGCGGATGACGCGTGGGTCTGACGGCCACAGACAAACGCATTGCCCCAGCTGGCAAGGCGGCATAAGGCGCTAATGTATGTTGGAGGTTTGCTTCCTTCCGGCGCGGCGCGCGATGACCAGAGCAGAAATCGACAGCAATGTTTTCCTTAAATTAGGTATTTAAAAAAGCTGATTGGGAACGGCACGTCACGAATAGCGTATTCCCAACGATCGGCGGCCGCTAATGCGGTAACATTACGGTGCTTATTGACTTGCTTGTGTTGACATGGTCGACGCTCAATCACTCTTTTCCGACTATTCTACAAGCAGCTCGCACGGTGGGGCGCCCGATCCGTGACGCGCCGGCAGCACATACGGCCCATCTAGCGATCTGCTAACGTCAACAAAAGCGACCCGCCTGCAGAAATTCGTAGTGTATTCCGCGTCACTCGCTCGTTCGTTTCGCACTATTATATGTTCCGAACGGTAGCATGTAGGAGGTGTAACTGCTGCACGCCGTACGAGCGATTGCGCGTTTCAAATGCGGATATTCCGCTCCACGAAACAAGGCACGGCGCACCTTCCTAAGCCTACGTACAGCGCTCGGACACTCCGAACACAAAAACAATCAGTAGCGAGAAATCGGAAGAACTATAGGCAAGTTGCAACTTCTGTACTGATTCAATAGCAAAGTGCGGCAGGTAATAAATGCCAGCAGCGCTACGCGATCGCCTAAGCATTCACTAAGTATTTCACGGGCGCTATTAAGAAATGCCACAAAATTTAAAAAGAAAGCGACTTACTTTTGTCCATTTCAACAGCGGGGGGATGACAAACATTCGCTGAATGGTTGTTCACAAGCACATGGCGCACATGCAATGACACGACGTGCTGTGCATGAGCGCGAAAACCTACAGAAAACACCCGAACGACACCGACGAATACCAAAGCTGCAAAGCACATGATAAACAATTGCCAACCTAGAAAAGAATTCACTTGTTGCCAACTGCAAAATGAACATCCGCTAAAGTCGGGTTCTTTCGTGCAATTTGGCGCATTTGGCGCAAACAAAACAACACTTGCGCAGTAAGGCGCAGGAAGGAATAATTGTAGGCAAATTGGCACAAATGGCGCAGCTGGATCACTACTGCCGGGCTTAGCAAGATGGTGGGCTTACCGTGATAATGGGATCGAAGTGCACATACGCAGATACATACGTTACCCATACCGCTTACCAAATGTGCACTATTTTTCAGATTAAACGTTACCGTGTTTGCGTAGTGTACAAAAAACATGGCATTGCATGCGGATGCCCACTTCGAAGTGATTTTGGCGTAGTTGTTGAAAGATTCACTTCGATCGCATCAAAAGACTGTTTAAATGGCTTCGCTTGCCCACGTTAGCTTCGATGACCGAGCATTACGGATAAGCTAGTGTAATTTTTTCGATAGCTTCCCACTTCGAACGTCTCTAGGCCTACCTAGAAGATCGATGTAAACAAACTGGCAACATAAATGCTTTCGCGTTTGGTACGTGGTTGATATTTATTTACTTTTATAATGAAGAAATGATGACAACAAAAGGGAACAACAAGCATCATCGCGGAGTAAGGCCCCATGACATCGGTACTCAAGATCCTCTATCTTCCTCTTCCTGTCTCTATCTCGAATCTTCCACCTGCCCGTTTGGTTCGCCCAATAAACCTTTTTACATTTGTTGGATCGTGCGGGGTAACCACATCGCCTACAACCTGGAACTTCGATCCCGCACCCTGCCGTCGGCCATGCAAGTTGACGCTGCCCAACAAACAGTACCTCTCGCGGCCGCTACTTGCCCCGGCCCGGTTCATCAGCGAGACCCCCTGATCTTAGCGGGCACCGAAGACCAGGACGTCGAGGACTGGCTGTCGTCATACGAGAAAGTCAGTGGACCCAACAGGTAGGATGACGCTGCTAAGTTGGCCACTGTGAATTTTTATCTCACCGACGTGGCCAAGCTGTGGTATACAAACCACGAAACAGAGTTCGCGAATTGGTCCGCCTTCAAGGAAGCGACATGTTTCGTTTTTTTGGTCGCCCTGCCTTACGGAAGCTACGCGTCGAAGAACGTCTGCGCACAGGGGCACAGGAGCCAGGTGAAACTTTCACATCATATATGGAAAATGTGATCGATCTCTGCTGGCACGTCGATGCTTCCGTGAGCGAGAGTGCGAAGACACAGCACATTATGAAGGGCGTCGACGATGACGTTTTCCAGATGCTTCTCGCGTAATCTCCTAGTACTGTGGCAGAAGTAGTGACTTTGTGCCAAAGCTATGATGAATTGGGGAGGCAACGAGCTCGGACGCGACGCTCATTCCAGACAATGCAACCACTGACCGCACTGGACGTTATGACTGACCAGACAAACCTTCTCGCACAAATGAAAGACTTCGTGCGAGAGGAAGTGGCTCGGCAGCTTTCTCTACTGCCTTTTGCTCAACGCCAGGAGCTTTCGCAGCAACAGCCACTGCGACACCCACCACCATTGGCTCCCATGCTCCGACGTGTGGTCCAAGAGCAGATTTCCGAGGCTATGCCGGTGCCCTTGCAGAAGCCCCCCGTCACCGCGCCTCTTACTTATGCTGAGGCACTAAAGCGGCAGCAGCCACACCACCCCCTGCCGTTCCAGGGACTGCCGTATACCTCAGCCCCGACTCAGCCGTCCCCCGCCTGGGTTTCTCCCATCGCCACCACAGCCTCAACTCACCTGTCTGCCGCATGGGCTGCTCCCCTCAATGCCAACACTTGGAGAACGCGCGATAACTGGCCTATCTATTTTGCGTGCGGGTGCCCTGGCCTTATTACTCATTACTGTTCGTCGTCGCGTGCCGGGATACACAGACATCCGGACACAGAACAGCTTCATGGACTTTCCTCCATCTCGTCTGGAAAATTCTGATCCTCAGTCAAGCTCGTCTTCACGTGAAGGAGGAGGAGGAGGATTGAAAGAGGAAGGACAGGGAGGTTAGCCAGCTTCACGGGAGTGTCTGTGTACTATGTCTGGCCGCTCACCTTCACCCCGTCGTCGCTCCCTGTCACCCATGCGTCGTCGCCAGCTCCTGAACACGAGGGAAACTAACCGCCGCAGTTCAGGAGTCAAGAACTGCGCTGTCGAAATGCTCAAGTCCTTCGACATTGCCATCGAATATTGTCGAAGTTTTTGTAGAAGGTACTCGAGCACATGCTCTAGTGGATACTGGTGCTGCCGCATCCGTGATAGACGCTAAACTTTGCCGCAAGCTCCGAAAAGTGACGACGCCTCTTAATATGATGTCCTTGCAAACAGCGAATGGGGACCCGGTTCAGCCTGTAGCCGCCTATACTAGTCCGACTGATGATTGCGAGGGATCACTACACTGTTGAGTTTATTGTCCTTTCGTCATGCTCACACGACATCATACTTATATGGGATTTTTTATCGCGTAACCATGCCGTTATTGATTGTGCAAGATTGGAGCTTGAACTTTTCCCTTTTTACGACCAACCAACCAGCCTCATTCAGCCCACCGTACACAAACTCGTCGTCAAAGAAGGCACTGAAATTCCTCCGACAGCAGCTGTGTTGCTCCCCGTGTTCAGTGGCATTAGGGATGAAATTGCATTCTTTGAACCATCAAGCCTCTTCCTTAGTCAAGATTATTTCTTCTGCCTTATTCAACCTTCTTTATTTCTGAAGGAAACAGTGTTCTTTGCCTCATCAATCCCCTTCCGTATCCCGTCGAACTGTTTCAAGGTGAATTTCTTGGACACGTGCATGCCATTGATAAGGAACAAATTTTTACCATGCCGCCAGATTGTTCTGGTGAATACGACGCCATCAGTGCCCTCAACCCTTCCAATATACCACCCTTCCAAGCTTTTCGATTCATCGATTGCCGACGAACTATCGCCATCTGAATGCTCCGAGCTTCTTCAGCTGCTCTACCAGTTTCATGAATCCTTTCACGTTGCTCAACCTACCCTAGGCCGAACTCCCAGTTTTTTCACTGCATCGACACAGGTTCCAACGCGCCAGTACGACAGCGACCATACCGTGTTTCCGCCACGGAATGTCAGGTTATCACCGAACAGGTTGACGATATGCTCAAGCGCGACGTTATCTGACCTTCCTAAAGTCCATGGGCATCACCTGTCCTTCTTGTTAAGAACAAGGATGGTACAATTCGCTTCTGCGTTGATTACAGGCACTTAAATAAAATCACTCGCAAAGACGTATACCCTTTGCCCAGGATTGATGATGCCCTTGATT